TAGAGACCCATGGAGACCTCATAGGGACCCATAGGGACCCGTAGAGACCCCATAGGGACCCATAGATCCCCATAGAGACCCACAGAGACCCATAGGCACCCCATAGAGCCCCATAGGGACCCACAGAGACCCATAGGGACCCATAGAGACCCATAGGGACCCCATAGAGCCCCATAGGGACCCACAGAGACCCATAGGGACCCATAGAGCCCCATAGAGCCCCACAGAGCCCCATAGGGACCCATAGAGCCCCATAGGGACCCATAGAGACCCCATAGGAACCCATAGACCCCATAGAGCCCCATAGGGACCCATAGGGACCCATAGAGCCCCATAGGGACCCATAGAGACCCATAGAGACCCATAGGGACTAATAGGCACCCCACAGAGCCCCACACTCCCCATTTCACCCCCCATCCCCCCCCCCCCCAGGCCTGTGAGCAGGACCCACTGCTGGACGACGCTGTTTCCCTGGCCGCATAGAGCCCCATAGAGATGTCAGAGGGACCCATAGAGACCCATAGGGACCCGTAGGTTCCCATAGAGCCCCACAGAGCCCCATAGAGCCCCATAGGGACACATAGAGCCCCATAGGGACCCATAGAGACGCATAGGGACCCATAGAGACCCATAGGTACCCATAGGGACCCATAGGGAACCATAGGGACCCATAGGGAACCATAGAGCCCCATAGAGCCTCATAGAGACCCATAGGGACCCATAGAGACCCATAGGGACCCATAGGGACCCATAGGGAACCATAGAGCCCCATAGAGCCCCATAGATCCCCACAGGGACCCCATAGAGCCCCATATCCCCCCACATGCCCCCATATAACCCCCGGGACCCCCATCTCCCCCCCCCAGGCCTGTGAGCAGGACCCGCTGCTGGACGACGCTGTGTCCCTGGCCCCATAGAGCCCCATAGAGATCTCAGAGGGACCCATAGAGACCCATAGAGCCCCATAGAGACCCATAGGGACCCATAGAGCCCCATAGAAACCCCATAGAGACCCATAGAGCCCCATGGACCCCCATAGGGACCCATAGAGCCCCATAGAGACCCATAGGGACCCATAG